ACATCCTGGGGTTGTCAGGGGACAGTGCAGCCACAAGGAGAGACTGGAAGCATCCCCTCCTCTGTACCCGCCCCTCGGTGCACCTTCACCACTCTATGCTGTCGTCCCTCCCCTGAGCTTCCTGAGGGCCAGGACCACAACTTTATATCCTCGTGCCCCAGGTCTGTCCCCAAGCAAACCAAGTCACGAAGGGATTCAATGAATGCCTGCCAGACTCTTACTGCATAGGGACAAACCACGAATACCTCGACTCACAGAATCTCTTAAGGTTTGAACCGTCAGCACATTATGCCCCTCTCAGCAGAGGAAATGAAGTTGACAGCTGCACGTGGCCCATCATCACTGAGTGTGGCCTCCTCTCTGAGCTCAGGAGCAATCCGAACCTGCGTTCAAACTCTGTTCTGCCTTGGAAAACCATGCTAGCTACCTCACACCCTCTTTTGTTGCTTGATTTTAAAAAATAAAGTGAAATAAATAAAAACAAACCCTAGAGTTCCCATGCTCAGGGCCATCCCATAAACCTGACAGTGGCTCTGGATGGCCCAGTTTCCTACTGGAGCTCTGCCCAGGCAAGGGATCCTCTTTTAAATCCATGGCTGACTCCCTAGGACCTCTCACTTCTGCATACAAAGTGAAAGACCACCACCTTTATTTTTATTTTATTTTATTTTCTTATTTTTTGGTACCAGGGATTGAACCCAGGGGTGCTTAACCACTGAGCCACATCCCCAGCCCTATTTTGTATTTTACTTAGAGACAGAGTCACACAGAGTTGCTTAATGCCTTGCTTTTGCGGAGGCTGGCTTTGAACTCACAATCCTCCTGCCTCAGACTCCCCAGCTGCTGGGATTACAGACCTGCACCACCACGCCCAGCTGTACCTTTATCTTTTTGTGGTTTTTGCCAAGGAGTAAGATTGGGAGAAAGCCCGGGGCAAGGAAGTCCTCTCTGGGAGCAAGACCTTGATAACACTGAGCTCAGGTAGCGGAAGAATCAACATTTGGCCTGAAATCAGGAGGGAGGTCCCCGAGGCAGTCCATACATACCCTCTCTATCTCTAGAATTGTCCCAAACTGCTGCAGCTAGTATCCAGGGCTGGCCTTGACCCCCACCCCCTGGCTTTCCTGGTCTCAGGTCCTCCTGGGCGGGGCCCCCACTTACTGATGCAGTCGTCACCCACGTCCTGGTTCCCGTCGTCACACTCCTCCCCAGGCTGCAGAACCCCATCCCCACAGGTGCCACGCTGGTCTATAGTAGAATCCACAGGGTAGAAAGGGGTCAGCTGGCCAAAGAAACACACAACATTAACCATGGGGTGGCACACCCAGGCAGCCATTGGGCAGGGAGGTCAGTACACTGGGGACAGATGCTCTGGGTGCAGGGACCATGGCAGGGGCATTCCTTAGCTTCCTCCTGGAGGTGGGGAAGGTCCTCTTCCCGTTGCTTGCCCTGAACTCTGGCAGCTCTAATGAGGTAGCATTCTGGGGGTACAGGGACTGGACAGGGTTGGGGGCTCTTGCCTCAGAGCGGAGCTTTGATGGGGAATGGGAAAACACGGGGATGCTCAGGGAAGGACTGTCGTGGAGACAGACTGCAGGAGCTCTGTCTAGGTCCTTCCTTTAATGGATGTTTTACCTGTCCTGAGTTGGGGGGTGTCCTGAGGGGTCTGCTTTGGGGTACCTGGATGGGAAGCCAGCCAAGGCTGTCCTTGAAGTACAGAGATCTCTGGTCTCTGCGGAAGGCAATGGCGTTCTGAGTGTTCAGCCTCTCGAGTTCCTCCTGGTTGTTGACCACAAAAATCTGCCAGAGAACACACTGGTGAGGATTCCAGGAAACACTTCTCCAGGGGGCCAGGAAGAGCTGGAGGAGCAAACAGAATCTCTGTGCATGGCTGGTTGGCCGTGGGAAGGGGGCTGTGCAGCCCGCTGTCGTATTCCTTCTGACTCCGGAGGAATGTCCCATTCCCAATCCAGTTCCTAATGTCTGAGTTTGAAATTAGAATAAATGCCATGATTTAACCTTTTTAGATGTTCCCAAGACTCAGATGAAGAGGTGATGTCCTATATAGTTAAGTAGTTCCACATCTGGAAATGATGCTTAACAAAATGATCATAACCAAAGATGCTCATTGCAGTATTATTTTCATTAGTGAAAAGGTCAGGAGCACCCTATCAGTGGCACTGGTTAAATAAATCACAGCCCAGTGACATGATGGAGGGGTGAGTGTGCATCAATGGATATCCATTCACTTCAAAATGATCCAAGGGGCTGATTGTGGTGGCGCATGCCTGTAATCCCAGCAGCTCCGGAGGCTGAGGCAGGAGGATGGCGAGTTCAAAGCCAGCCTCAGCAAATTAGTAAGACCCTAAACAACTCAGTGAGACCCTGTCTCTAAATAAAATACAAATAAGGCTGGGGATGGGGCTGAGTGGTTAAGTGCCCCTGGGTTCAATCCCTGGTAAAAAAAAAAAAAAAGTAATTAATAATAAATAATAATAATAATCAACATCATCATCCAAGGGTAGGTATTTGAGAGTAGGTATAAAGAGAAAACAAGGAAATGTGGATGGCCATGAGTTGATCCTTATTTCCTGGGATTCGTTACATTATTTTTTTCTGCTTTTGTATTTATTTGAAATGTTTTATAAGAATGATATTTATATAGAGTATGAAAATGTGGGACTTCAACTGAGAACTAGAGCAGAACATTTTTGTACAATATAATCTGAACCATATCAAAGCTATTTTGTTTGTTTACTTATTTATTGGTGCTGGGTACTGAACCCAGGGGCACTGAACCACTGAGCCACATCCTCAGCCCTTTTTTATTTTTTTTATTTTGAGGCAGGGTCTCACTGAGTGGCATAGGGCCTCACTAGAATGCTGAGGCTGGCTTTGAACTCGCAATCCTCCTGCCTCAGCCTCCTGAGCCACTGTGTCTGGCCTCAAAGCCATTATTTTTTTAAAGCAAAGAAAATACCCCCAAATGGTCCAATAACAAAATGGAAAATATGGTTTTCTTCTTTTGATTTTCTGTTATTTTGTGATTCCCTATGAGTGAGTGCCCAGTGTAATGGGGGAAAAAAAATTTACTAAAAGGATTTTGCAGGCCCTGAGAGGATCAGGTTCTCATGGATAACCTCCCAGACTTTACCCAGAAGCCTTACCACAGGAACTCGCAGGGAGCTGGGCCCATACATGGATTCCCCGTAGGAAGGGTTATTCACATTCACAGAGGGTCCACAAAGACATCTTCCTGGGGGCCCAGGATATCCTCGCTCCCCTTTGGGTCCCATTACAAGTTGTCCTAGGAAGCAATAGATTGTTATGTTACTAGAGCCAAGAAAGAGAAAACTGAACAACCCAGGAAGATATGAGCAACCTAAACAACAGAAAGGAGGTTGAAATCCAAAGCATTTCAGGGTGGGCCTGAGAGAGAAGTTCAAAGGGATGATTTTGATCCAAGATGCAAAGGAGAAAAAAGGGCTGCTGAGAGATATACCTTCTCTCTTATTCCTGTCTTGAAGACAGACAAGATAACTTGAAGCAGCCATATTGCAACCATGAAGTAACAAGGATGAGAAGCCAATATACAGGAAAGACAAGGGGCTCTTGGGATCTAGGGCCCTGACAGTGATACTTAGAGGCTGAACCAAAAGACAGCTACTGTGTAACCAAGGATTTCTTTGTTGGAGAAAAACAGTGAACTATTTGTTTAGACTATTATTTATAGGGAACTTCTTAAAGATGAACATGTTATTTTTTACAGATGGATAACTTTTATTGCTTTTTAATTTTCTTCTTACAATTTTTTTTGGAAGCATTGGAGATTGAACCCAGGGCATCATGCATGCTAGGCAAACACTCTGCCACTGAGCTATATCCCCAGTCCTTTGTCATTTTATTTTGAGACAGGGTCTTGCTAAGTTGCCCAGGTTGGCCTTGAACTTGTCATCTTCCTGCTTCAGCCTCCCAAGTAGCTAGGGTTAAAGATGTGCACTATATGCTAATTGTCCTCTTTTATATAAGATGATTACATAGGAATTTCTGAATGTGGGTTTGTTTCCCCTGGAAGAAAATGGAACATTTGTACTGAGAAGTCAGGACATACCCTGAAAAGATTTTTTTTTTTTTTTCTTTTGAGACAGGTTTTAACTATGTTGCCAGGACTGGTCTGGAACTTCTGAACATAAGTGACTCTCCCACCTAGGCCTCCTGCACCTACCACGATGCCTGATTTCATGTTTTTTTTTTGTTTTGTTTTGTTTTGTACTGGGGATTGAACCCAGGGGCACTTAACCACTGAGTCACATCCCCAGCTTCTTTTTTATATTTTATATTTATATTTTATTTGGAGGCAGAGTCTCACTGAGTTGCTTATGGCCTTGCTAAATTGTTGAGGCTGGCTTTGAACTTGCAATCCTCCAGCCTCATCCTCCCAAGCTGCTGGGATTACAGGCGTGCACCACTGTGCCCAACTCACCTTGGTTTTTAAAGACCCTGATGTTCAGGCCACACCCACAGCAGCTCTACAAAGACTTCTAAGAATAGAAATTAACACAAACACAAACACATATATTTTTCAGTACTGGGGGTTGAACACAATGTGCCTCATGGCACTAGGTTCATGCATGCTAAGTAACCACTTTACCACTGAGCCACCCATAATTTTAAAAGCTCTCAAGATGGTTCCAGTGTACACCAGGACCAAGAAACAGCCGGTACAGGGAAACTGTATTTGCACAGGCTATTCACCCCACCCCCAGACCCTCTCCCTCCTCATCCCTCCCTCCCTCTCTGGCCCTAGGTGCTTCCTAACTCCCTTCTGATCTGGGGTCAAACATTATTTCCTCAGGGACAGCTGTCTTGAGTCTTTACATTCTCATGTTCAACTGAGACAATTTCTTTGTTCCTTACATCTATTTTTTGGGGGAGGGGGTACTGGGGATTGGACCCAGGGGCACTTAACCACTGAGCCACATCCCCAGCCCTTTTTTGTATTTTATTTAGAGACAGGGTCTCACTGACTTGCTTGGAGTCTTGCTGAATTGCTGAGGCTGGCTTTGAACTTGAGATCCTCCTACCTCAGCCTCCTGAGCTGCTGGGATTACAGGTGTGGGCCACCATGCCTGGCTTTCATCTATTCTTCATAACACTTATCACTGGTAATTCTATATATTGTAAGTTTATTAGATCAAACATTATCTTCTCCGCTAGAATGTAAGCCCCACAAGGGCAAGTCTGGTGAGTGTTCTCATCCACCAGGGCTTGACATTTGGTAGGAACGTGGTGCATGTTTGATGATTGAATGAATAGATGCAGCCTCTGGAAAATGCTAGAAGTCATCCTCCAGCAAAGTGCTAGAGCAAGAGGCATCCAACCAAAAGAGAGAAAAGAAAAAATTGTGGGACTGAGAAGAGAATACATATAGGGAAATGGGAGCTTTGGAGAACAGCTTTAGCTGTGTAGCCTCTGGGGCAGCCAGGAACAGGGTAGTCAAGTTCATAGATCCCAGAAGGGCGGGAGACAAAATGAACCCAGGGGACAGATCTGGTCAGGACCACAAGGAAGCAGTTGCAGCTGGAGAAGGAGACCCCAGGGGAAAGACCCTGACTCCCTGAGCCTTCCTGAGCTGATTGACAGATCTGTCCAAGACTAGAATGCTGACAGCAGGAGGCAAGGAGGCTTCAGCCTAGGAATATTGTGGGTAGTTAAGCACTTGGGGAAAATAAGGTGGGAATGCTTTGTGAGCAGGGATATAAGAGTGGTATTGGAACAACTTTCTAGAAGATTCTGTGACTCTCCCCACAACCCCCACCCCAAGGACTGCACCAGAACCATGCCCTCAGAGAGAGTCAGGAATTTGCCAGTTGATTAGTGGTGAGGCTGAGATTTGAACTCATGTTTGACCTAACACTGTGCCATTCGGAAGACAAACTCCAAGAATACTGATGCTTTCAGGAAGCCTGTAATTCCCAGGTACCAAGCTGATTCACTTATACCCTGTCTGGGTGCAGGAAAGACCCAGCCTAATTTGTAATTCGATCATCACAAATTGCATCCGAAGGACACTTTGCCTGTATTCTCTCCCCCTCCCCAACTTCTCTTTCCCTGTAACTTGGGTGATTAAAAAACTCCTACCCTCTCCAACCCTGCCCCCTCCCCCGACCCTGCTCCCGTGTGCTGGCACCTCCCCACAGGACAGGACTTGGCAGGGAGCCTGCTGCCACTACTGCAGTTTCCCTGCCGGTTTCCTCCCAGCTGTTGGAGGACATCTGTTACTCCTGCCTGTTTCCTGCCAGGCTGAACCGAAGGGCACAGTGACCCGAACTACCCCACGTTGGCTTCATCACCATGCCCTGCAGCCGCTGGGCCCGGCTCTCATCTTTGCCCCCAAGAGTCTTCCACTTCTGTTGGCTGCTGTGGTGGCAGCAGGTGACAAGAAAGGGAAAGGCAGGGGAATCAGCAGGATAATCTCCAGCGGCTGCATGGGGGTCCCAGGAGCCACCGAATGATTGTGAACAAGGGTGGCCACTTGGCAACTCTGTGACTTTGTGGAAGTCACTTCTCTCTTCTTGTGGAAGTCACTTCTCCCTTTCTCTCAGAAAGGGAGACCTGGACTAGCTAGATCATTCATCATGTGGTCTGGAGCCCAAGGATATGTCAAGATGGAGCAGAGTTTCAGAATCTTGGGTGGAGGTAACTACCCCCTGCCCCCCCCCCCCAGAGCAGGTCCAAAACAACAAACAATATATATATATAATAATAAAAATAATATTTTTTTTTTTTTTTTAGTACCAGGGCCCTTAACTGCTAAGCCACTTCCCCAGCCCGTTTTATTTATTTATTTTTATTTTGAGATAGGGTCTCACTAAATTGCCAAGACTGGCTTTGAGCTTGTGATCCTCCTGCCTCAGCCTCCTGAGCTTCTGGGATTACAGGTGTGCTCCATTACACCAGGTCCAAATCTACTTCTATCAGACTCTCAAAAATACTCTTAGGAATTACTAGGAGGTCCTGTTCCAACTCTGGATGATTATCCAATTGGCCTCAGGCATAAGGATCTCTCTTCTAAATTCCTCCCCCCTCTTCTCTCCCCACCTGCCCCCTACAGACTTTTACAAAGAGCAGGATTATTGTCCCACTTTGACTTTTTCACCTCCCTCTGGGAGGCTCCTCAGTAAGAAAGTAACTCAATGGAAGGAAGGCACAGGGAGGGAATGTCCATTCAGAGAGATGGCCCACATCCTGCTTGGCTACTGGCTGTCACCATTAAGCCCTGTCCAGATGGCCAGGTGTAATGGTGGGCCACCCGCCATCCATCCCAACTACCAGGTGCCCTGGGGGGATGTGAAAGCGACTCAGCCATAGGCTCTGCCCTCAGGAAACTTGTCCTCTGGCTTGAAGAAAGAATACTTTTGCAAAAAAAAAATGCAACCAATAGAAGAGCCATAACAGCAAGGCAATGTATCAGCTATACTGTTGGGGCCAAGGAAGACATATTGAAAAGAGGGCTTTGAAGGAAGCAGAGAATTTTGCTGGACGGGCAGAGGGTGCGGGAGTGCATGTCAGGCCATGTGGGCCCAGAGAGACTATAAGAATATGCTCCAGCACTACTGAGAACTGAGGAACTGCTGACAGTCGTCATCTGGTCCCATTGGTGTCCGTGTCCCCCGCTCTCACCACAAGAGGAAAATGGAATTCAAGTTGTACGAGGGCTGCCATTTATAAAGGCAGAAAAACACAGCGAGAGCATTAAGGTCTCAGTTTTCCAAGGAAATCCCAAATGCATCTCAGCCTCATGCCCCCAGGATCCTCAGTTTTGTGAGTATTTAAGCTCTCCAGGGTCCAAGAGAGTTCCTTTCATAAGGCAAAAGCAGGCCTCAGGTTGTCCTCTGGGATTGGCAGCTCATGGCCATGGATTCCCGGGGAACACTATACCAGAACTAAAGAGGATAAGGACTAGTCGAAAAGACCCCTATCCAGGTCACCCAGCCAACTCGCAGACACAGACTGTAGCATATGGACACATGGCCTGGGCTGCATCTCAAATTTAATTCCCTTAAAAACACAGAAACAGGTGGAGAGGGATTTCCCTAGACATGGGGGTGATGGGGACCCCTGTATCCTGGGGAAGAGAAGAGGTCTCAGAAAGAGTGCTTGTGAGTATACCTTGGGAAGTAGGGATTCCCAGTCTTGGAAATGTTCTGACACCCAAGCATGGCATGAGGGCAGCATGAGGTCACCAGGTATCTATGGACAATATAGGTGTGGACAACAGGTATTTCAGAGGCCAAGGGTTGATCAAAGGCTTAAGGAATCTTCCCTGATATTTTTTGGCCATAATTCACCAGTATCTTTGCCCAACCTGGTTGTGGCAGTTGGGAGAAGTGGAGAGAACCCCTACAGTGCCTGAAACTGAATTGTTCTGGTACCCTGACAGGTGGGGATCTCAGAGTCAACTTTCATTTGGTTTAAGGATCTAACAAAATATGACATTTCTCTCCCATCCCATGATGTGGCTGCAAATGTGTTCACGTGAACACTGGGGGAGTGCACGGTGGAATTCTAAAATGTCTTCTTCTTCTTTTTTTTTAATGTTGGAATAAAAATTGTTTGGATGCATTTTGTGTAAATGAAGACAAAACCCTGGCAGAGTCAGGAGTCATCTGGGACCTAGAGATGCTGTCTTTGTATGGATGATGGGTTTTGAGAGATCTTACTTTGAGCTGACAGGGGAATAGCATAAAGGTCTTAGCTAAACAAATCAAACAAGGCAAAACAAGGTAGCAGTGTACCAATGCCCTCTTCAATAATACACTTTTAAAAAATTTCTTTTTATTAATCCCATCTCATCTCCAAAGCAAATAAATAAGGCCTCTCTCATAACCCTGTGTAAGATAGGAAAGTGCAAAATGCCACCTCTGCTTCCGTGTTTAAGAGAATATTTTGGAGCCACAGAACATATTTTTCTAGGAAAAGGTGTCAGTTGATGAAATATGTACCTTTTTCACTGGCGGTATAAATGACATCACTCATGTAATGTTTCCCCCTCTGTCTTTTCTCTGTTTGTTTTCCAAAATACTAAAATAAAGCCAGAATGCCATTTATGACTCTTTTTTTGGTGGGGGGTATTGGGGATTAAACCCAGAGGCACTTAACCACTGAGCCACATCCCCAGACCTTTTTTGTATTTTATTTAGAGACAGGGTCTCATTGAGTTGCTTAGGGCCTCACTAAGTTACTGAGGCTGGCTTTGAACTCATGATCCTCCTTCTCAGTCTCCTGAGCCACTGAGATTACAGGTGAGTGCCACCATACCTGGCTGGCATTTATGAGTCTTGGTGCAAATTCAGAATAAGCTAAGGTGTGGAAAAATGATAAATATATTAAAGCACCTCTAGCCGTTTCTAATTGAAAATGGAAGAAGAGCTCTGTGAGCATTGCTTTGTCCCTTCTCTGGGAGGCTGGCCAGAAGTGCCACCCTGTAGATCAAGCCCAGCAATGTAACTCTTACCTGCAGATGGGGGGCCTGGGGGCCCCGGGGGGCCTGGACGACCAGGTTGACCAGAAGGCCCAGGCTTGCCAGGTGGGCCCATAACTCCACTATCTCCCTTCTGTCCCTGACAGAGAGAAAGGCACAGCCTGTTAGGATACATGGCAAGGCAAATTTCCTTCCCCATTTGTCTCTAAATCAGGGACCACCTAGCACTTAGGAGCAAGAGCTCAGGGTAGGACGCAAGCCCAGAAGTCTTGGACCACCAAGCTCCTAGAAGACTCAGGGCAAGTGACATTTGAGATATAGTGATAGTTGCAAGATTATAGGCCTTGGTTCTTGCTCTGTCCCAGAAACATGGTACATGGCATCTGAACAGAACCAACCCGACCCAACCCCTGGGATGGATTAGGAAACAGAAGCTCAGAAAAGAGCAGGGATTTATGCAAGTCCCCTGATATCAAGTTAGGCCTGGAATCCAGGCTTTCTGCTTGCTTCTCAAGACCGTTTGTTTATTTCCCTGGCTTCCTGTGGCTCTCTGGATAAAGATCCAGCTCCTTCCTTTGGCTTAGGAAACTGGGCATGGCCAGGCTTGCTAGTCTTGTTCCATTTTTCTTTTCTTGTTTGGTCTTCAAGAGCACTATGACTCTTATTTCCCCTTCTCAAAACTCTTCTCTCTGCCCAGACTCCTCTTCTGCCCCCTCTGCCTTCAGCTCTCAGCTCAAACGTCACAGCAAACCTATCCCTGACTTCTCAGGGGGACTCGGATCTCCCTGGCACAGGTTCTCCTGACGTGGCCTCTCTCCTTCGTGGCAATCATCCCAGATCCCTGTGTACATATTATTTGGGTGGTTATTTCATCCATGTGTCCTCATGAGGCTTGACCTCCTTGTGGGTTGGCATCTAGTGCTCACCTCCCCTCCCCAGACCAGATGAGGGAGGAGAAAGAAGCCGACAACACAAACAGGAGAGATATCTTGCTCTATAAAGCTAGAATTTTCACCTTGACCTTGGGACCCTGGGTAGCTCATATGGTTTTGTGCCTCAGTTTTGTGTTCTGTAAAGTAGGGTCAGTGACTATCCATCCACACAGGTGTTTTTGTTTTGTTTTGTTTTTTGGCTAACAAAGATCTCAAAGGTGAAAATTGTGGTTGGCACATAATGAAGGGCTATATAGAGCCACATGATTATCCCAGCAATTGGCCTGGTTTCATCACATAGTAAAAGAAATCCTGATTTCTTTCTCTTTTTTCTTCTTCTTCTTAAACATTTTGCTTTTTGTTTTGTTTTGGTTTTTGGTGCTGGGGATTGAGCTCAGGGGGCACTCTACCATGGAGCTACACCCCCATCCCTTTCTATTGCTTGTTTTGAGACAGGATTTTGCTATGTCACCCAAGCTGGCCTGAAATTTGCAATCCTCCAGCTGGGATTACAGGCGTGCATCACCATGCCTGCCCTGATTTTCTTAAAGAAAGACATAACCCAAAGCTACAGCTATTCCTCTAGGAGTGGAGTATGCTCTTTGTTGCCTATTCTGGCAGTTTCAAGAGCAAAGATCAGGCTCTCAGTTCTCTTAGAACTGAGGGGATTCTTAGAACTGACCCCCCCTTTCCCCAAGAACTGGTGTATGCTATAGGCTCTTTGTGTGAGCAGTTTGCTAACTACCCTTGCACGAGGCCTTATGGGGACAGTGATTGTCACCTGACATCTTTGGCCTGGCTCTCCCTACTATACTTGTGCCTTGGCAAGCTTGTCCACCTGATGAAACACAATCTTCTCCAAGTCTGAGAAACACACATACCGGGGACTCCTTTCCAATCACAAGGTGACACATGACCTGCTGCCTTGTTGACTTGTCCTTGGGGGCCCTGTCACTAATGCCTGGTGAGTTCTTACACTCTTAAGATGGGACCCATGAGGTCAGTTTGTTTCCGAATCCACGCTCTTGGAGGGCATTCTGAAGGTGCGGGCCAAGCTGAAGCATTCCAAACAGTAAGCAAGACGGGGCCCAGAATGGCAAAGGAAGTCACACTGGCTTAATATAGGCACAGTTAAGGCTTGTTTTTCTAACAGCCAGGTCAGCTGGCTCTGAGCACAGGAAGTACACAGCTTGAAGGAGCTGGAGGTGCTCCTGATTCTGACAGCAGCCGTAAAGGAGTCTTCGACGCAGAATGAGCCACGTCTGTATCAGTAGGACTCACGGAGCCAAGCTTTCCAGGAAAAGCTTTCTTAATTCCTTATTTGCTACAAAGCTGGGAGATCTCTCTCTCAAGGAAGTTGTTGTGTCTCCTTCATTGAAGGTTTTTATGATAAAGTCAGCTGCTGCTTTCTTGAACCTGCCCATAGGCAAGTCCTGGAGTAGGAAGGGGATAGGGAGAAGATGCATGGGGAAAAGCCTGTGGACCTACTCTAAGTTCTAATCCTGGTTTTGCATTTAATTGACTCTGTCATTGAGGGGTCTTGGGCAAGCAATGCCACCTCCCTGTCCCTCAGTTTCCTTGAAGAGATTTGGGTTACATGGTCTCTCAAATCCTTCTGATTTGGAAATTCCAGTCTGAAATCCCCTCTGGATTTTTGGTTCCTGGTTTTGGATGGATTACAACAACCTCCAGAAGCTCTTACCACGGCTGGCCCAATAAACACTAGACACAGGTCTCTACGCTAGGAAGTGAATTTGTGACAAAAACAACATCCCCTGGCAAGGTACCAAGGCTCACCACTCAAGTGTCAGCTCACTGAACAACACCAAGGGCTTGGAGCACTCTCAGGGTGTTGATAGCATCTTCTAGAAAGGATGAGCTCACTCCCTAGCTTCTCTGAGCTCCCAGATGTGGTTTTGGGTTGGCTCTTACTAGTGATCCAATGGAATCAATGTCAGCAGGGTCAGGAAATAATCTTTCTGGCTTTGACTCTCCCAGGAAAAGTTGAACACTGTCCAAGAAAAGTATTCGAGGACAGAAGTCTGGAACCCCAACATAAAATACTTTGGATGGGAATCATTAGTATGGAAGAAAGTGATGAAATATTTCTCCCCTATTTTCTTCTTCTTTTTCAGAGTCTAGATTTAAGAAAAGTAGTGTCTGTGGTGTCACGGTGAAGCCATGGCCATGCCAGTCATCATAAAACTTTGAAAATGAGACTTGGCTGTTGTCACTTCAAAAAATTATATTATGTAGTTTGCATTATTCCAATGGGAACTTCTGTCACTTCTAAATTTACCTGGAGAAGACTGTGATTATCTTCATATAGTGTTACTGACTCTGAACCCTAGCTGCACATTAGAAACTAAACTGAATTGAAGAATGGGCAGCTTAAACAAAACTAAACTAAAATCAGGCTGATGGCCTAGTCCAGTTTGATTGCATCAGTCTGGGAAATAAGGCCTAGGTATGGAGAACCATGAGAGGCAAATCTGAAGTACACCACTGTACCTGGTTGGGAATCTGTATTCAATAGCTCCTCCACCTCAGGTGATTCTTTTTTTTTTTTTTTTTTTCTGTACTGGGGATTAAACTCAGGGGCACTTGACCACTGAGCCCCATCCCCAGCCCTATTTTGTATTTTATTTAGAGACAGGGTCTCACTGAGTTGCTTAGCGCCTCCCTAAGTTGCTGAGGCTGGCTTTGAACTCTTGATCCTTCTGCTTCAGTCTCTTAGCTGTTGGGATTATTAGCTGTGCGCCATCATACCCAGCTCAGGTGGTTCTGATTTAAACTACAGTTTGTTTGAGGACCACAGATCTAGCCTAAGGAAATAATTAGGAGAATGGAAAAAGCGTTGAATCTAAAGATGTTCACCTTTCAGGACTCTTTCTCATCTGGCTAGGTCTCTCTTGTCATGCTCACTCATGTACCAACATATGATAAGGATATTAAAACATGTTTTAAGGGGCTGGGTTTGTGGCTCAGTGATAGAGCGCTCGCCTAGCACATGTGAGGCCCTGGGTTTGATCCTCAGCACCACATAAAAATATAAATAAAGAAAGAAAGATATTGTGTCCAACTAAAAAAAATTAAATATTTAAAAAAATGTTTTAAAACATTAATTGATATCTACAGGGGCAAGAAAAACTACATATTGTGATTTTAAGTTAAAAATTAAGAACAAAATAACTACACATTGCATATGTAAGAAACAAACAACCTGAAACTATAAAAAGAAATAATTCTGGAAGGAAATATTTGAAAATCACACCATCACCACCAACCATGTATATGCTTGAGTATTGGGTCTTTGGATTATTTTCATCTTATTTTTCTGAATTTTCTAAGTTTTCGTGATGACTACATGTTATATTTATAATGAGAAGGAAGGAAAAACTCAACAAACTGAATGGATTCTAAATGTATCTCTACAAAGAAACAATTAATATTTGAGGTGATGGATATGATTTGATCATTCTGCAATACACACACACACACACACACACACACAGTGTGCTCCATACAGAACTGTGTGTATATAATTACTTATTAATTAAAACTAAAGTAAAACAAATACTTTACTAATGTTCAAAATGATGTTTTCTTTGAACATATTCACAATCCTTGACTTTAAAGAGCAAGTCGTGCAAGTATATACATTCATATATCTATTTTAAAATTAAGATTATTTAAATAAAATTGAATTTAAGAAGTCTTTCTGAAATTAAAAAGAGCCAGGGCTGAGGATATAGCTCAGTTAATAGAGTGCTTGCCTCACATGTACAAGGACCTGGGTTCAATCCCCAGCACCACAAAATAAATAAATAAATAAATCGCCTTGAAATTAAAAAGAGCCAACAAAATGAAAATCAAAAAAGTAATGGTGTGCCCTTCTCAAGAGTGCTGTCCAGAAGTTTTTCTGAGGACCTCAGTATAGCTCTAGAGCCAGCCAGCTAAAATGTACCCTACTCTTTCCTTTTCCTGTCACATCACCTGGCTTAATGTAGGAGCTTGCTGACCTAGGAAATGAACTATTTCCCTAAACCCTTACAAACACAGTTAAAAGGATTGCTTACAAATTGGGGGCCATGTAGGGAAAAATCAACCTATCCTTAAGACCCGGAGGACCTTTCAATGGTGGGGAAATATGTGGGCTGTTACAGATTTTCTGGGTAAAACACCCTATCTTTCATTCTGAGTTGCTTTGGTCTAGATGGACTTGTTCCCATGAACTGAAGACCCGTTCTTGCTTCTGGTCTTGAGAACAGCAACCATGGCACAGCCTATTCTGTCTACCTGGACCTGTGGCTAGCCAGAAAAGCCAGAAGTATCTGGAAATGGTGCTGCTTCTGCCCACCACCCCAGAGGACCCTGGAGACTGGGGCTATGGGTTAGCTCTGACTGACACGACCCACCTGCCTCTCCACACAGCGAGGGTCAGGAAGTGCTGACCTTAGTTAGGGGGGTGGCAAACCCTGAGATCCTTACCTGCTTGCCACGTTTCCCCGGTCTTCCTGTGGGTCCTCGGTGTCCTGCTATCCCAGGTTCACCCTTTGGACCCATTTCACCCTGGAAAGAAGAAAGAGAAGTGAAAGAGAAATTGGGGCATGTGGAGTGGGCATATCTAGACAGGTCTGTCCATATCTACACTGGCTATGAGGGAAGTCTCTAGATCATTCCAAGTCTTTTCCAGATGGGCTGCCCTGGGAGCCTGGGAGAGTGATGAGGTTGTGTAAAAGGCTGACACATCTTTCAAAGAATAAGACGGGAAGAAGCTAGCCCTGAGTAGGTTGAGAAGCTAATCCTAATCCTGTATGGATTACTTAATTTCTGGGAGAGATGGTTGTAGGCCCAAAGACATTTTGGTGCCCCCACCAAAAAAGGGGAGGGGTGGTGGGGGGTGGAAACCACATCCAGAATACCCAAAGTGGGAGGGTTCTGCATTCCAGTCACTTGTGCACCTGATGCTACAAACTGTCCTGGAGAAAAGGATTTCACTTTTAGTTAAAATTTTATATTGTGCTTTGTGATGTTTGCTTTTAACCACAAAGTCAAATCTGTGGGCCTTCCTTTCTTCCTTCTTACCAGGGATTGAACTTAGGGGCACTTGACCACTAAGCCACATCCCCAGCCCTTGTTTGCATTTTATTTAGAGACAGAGTCTCACTGAGATGCTTAGGACCTCCCTAAGTTGCTGAGGCTGGCTTTGAACTTGCGATCCTCCTGCCTCAGCCTCCTGAGCTGCTGGGATTGTAGGCATACACCACCACGCCCGGCCTGTGGGCTTTTTAAATGATTAATTGGACACCATTTGCCAGCTATCACGTTTGGGAAGTTTCTGCTCATCTGATGCCTTTATTGAAAATTATAGAGTTCCCCACTCTTCAATAAGCATTGCTTTGAGTTCATGCTCACTTCCATTTGATTTAAATGAAGACTCTTTTTTGGAGGGAGGGTGTTTCCAATGTATGGTCAAATATTCAACATGATTATTATAAAAGGCCTGGAAAACAGTGTACACAACACTTCTAATTGAAAATAACGTATACTTAACAATCAGAACCAAATGCACCCATCCCAGAATTTCACAGGATAAGGCCAATCTTTTGCAAGGTCCATTTCTTTCTTCATCTTAGTTTCTTTCCCTCTTCTCTATGTTCTCCTAGGATCCCAGTCCCACTTCACTATTTTTTGGGGTCATGAACTCACAGGACACATCATTCCTACCTCCAGTTACCCTCCTACAATGAGCCACCAAGTAGCCATCACCACCATGAGAGTTTCTTTAGCAGCCAGGGACTCAGAGAAAATAGAAACCCAGGCTCCTTTGCAGGAGGTGGTCAGGAGAGGTACAACACAATGGAAAATTCCAGAATAGGATAATATAATATGGTGAGGATCAAGAATAAGCCTCTGAATGATCTGTCAACTCAACCAACACAAAGAATTTGTCCCTTCTTGAGACACCAATGTCTTGTATCACCAAAAATTTTCTTGAAGTCTATGCATCCTCACCTACATGTGGCATCCTTGAGCATTCTCTGCAGAGTGTGTTAGGGGATAGGATGGATTCTATATGGTTGTGGAAACGTTTGTGCCGTTTTCCCTTGGCTGGCCAGAGAAGGACAGGGGAGGTCTTATTTGACTAGGAGAAAACAGCAGCATAAACAATATAAATTTTTTAAAGAGATTGTCAGAAGGCAGTGGGGCCCTTCTCTTTATCAACTGAAAGCAGCCAGTAATTTTTTGATTTAATTTCTCTCCTAAAACCTAATTATGGTTACCTTATCAGCTCTGTCTTAAAACAGCCTACCACAAAGGAGGGAAGACAATTCTTTTCAACGCCAGGTCTAGTAAATGGCACAGAGACTGGAGAAGCTGTCATGCTTAATTTTACAGTAATTTATGACTCTTTGATTTTCGTTGTTACACGGAATGAATACCTAACCTAAATCTTTTAAAATAAAATTAAAATTTTTTCTTTTTAATGTTTCTTTTAATTTGCTTATAAAATTACAATTTTAAAAATGTAACACCCCATTTAGGGTAGCAGAAACAGAGTTTCTGACAAATTCAGGTGGCGAAACAATCATAGTAAATTAATGCATGATGACTGAAAATATGGAAACATGCTCTATTGGTTGGATACTGTCAGATAAAAATTATTTAGGTATGGAAAATGATATTTTAAGGTAAACTTAAAATGTTAAAAATACTAAGTGTCCATTTGCATGTTTGGAGAATTTCGCGCTCTGAGACTTACAGTTTCCAAATGGAAAAACTGTGGGCAAAGGGGAGGGAGGGATGGGGAGGGGGAATGGGGACAGGAAAGATGGTGGAATGAGATGGACATCATTACCCTAGGTACATGTATGACTGCATGTATGGTGCAACACTACATCTTGTATAACCAGAAATAAAACGTTGTGCTGCAATTGTGTACAATGAATCAAAGTGCATTCTGCTGTCATATATACCTACATCTCAAAGCCCTAGAAAAAGAAGAACAAATCAACATCAAAAGCAGTAGAAGACAGGAAATAATTAAAATCAGAACTGAAATTAATGAAATTGAAACAAAAGAAACAATTGAAAAAAATTGACAAAACAAAAAGTTGGTTCTTTGAAAAAAATAAATAAAGTAGATAAACCCCTGGCCATGCTAATGACAAGAAAAAGAAACTGAAATTACTAAAATACAAGATGAAGAAGGAAATATCACAATGGACACATATGAAATATAGAAGATAATTAGAAAGTATTTTGAAAATTTATACTCTAATAAAATAGAAAATATCAAAGACATTGACAAGTTTCTAGAAACATATGATCTACCCAACTGAATGAGGAGATCATACACAATTTAAATAGATAAATTTCAAGTAATAAAATAGAATAGAATGCCATCAAAAGTCTACCAACCAAGAAAAGCCCAGGACCAGATGGATTCTTAGCCAAGTTCTACAAGACTTTCAAAGAAGAATTAACACCAACACTCCTCAAAGTATTCCATGAAATAGAAAATGAGGGAACCTTTCTAAACTCATTCTATGAGGTTAATATCATCCTGACATCAAAACCAGACAAAGACACATCAAGGAAAGAAAACTTCAGACCAATATCCTGATGAACATAGATGCAAAAATTCTCAATAAAATTCTGGCAAATTGCATACAAAAATATATTTGAAAGATAGTGCATCATGATCAAGTGGGATTCATCCCAGGGATGCAGGGTTGGTTCAACATATGGAAATCAATAAACATAATTCATCATATTAATAGACTTAAAAACAAGAATCATATGATCATCTCAATAGATGCAGAAAAATGCGGAAAAAGTATTTGACAAAATACAGCACACCTTCATGTTCAAAACACTGGAAAAATTAGGGATAGTAGGAACATACTTCAACATTGTAAAAGCTATATATGTTAAACCCAAGGCCAGCATCATTCTAAATGGAGAAAAATTGAAAGCATTCCCTCTAAAAACTGCAACAAGACAAAGATGTCCTCTTTCACCACGTCTATTCAACATCATCCTTGAAACTCTAGCCAGAGCAATTATACAAAACAAGAAATTAAAGGGATACAAATAGGTAAAAAAGAACTCAAACTATCACTATTTGCTGATGACATGATTCTATAGCTAGAAGATCCAAAAAGTTCCACCAGAAAACTTCTAGAACTAATAAATGAATTCAGCAAAGTAGCAGAATATAAAATCAACACCCATAAATCAAACACATTCCTATATATTAGCGATGAATTCACTGAAAGAGAAATTACAAAACTACTCCATTCATAATAGCCTCAAAAAAAAAAACAACACCTGGGAATCAATCTAACAAAATAGATGAAAGACCTCTATGATGGAAACTACAGAACACTAAAGAAAGAAATTGAAGAAAACCTCAGAAGATGGAAAGATCTCCCATGCTCCTGGATAGGCAGAATTAATAATGTCAAATGGCCATACTACTAAAAGTGTTATACAGACTTAATGCAAATTCTATTAAAATCCCAATGACATTTTTCAGAGAAATAGAAAAAGCAATCATGAAATTTATTTGGAAAAATAAGAGACCCAGAATAGCTAAAGCAATCCTTAGCAAGAAAAGTGAAGCTGCAGGCATCACAATACCAGACCTTAAACTGGACTACAGAAAACAAAAATGGCATGGTACTGGCACCAAAATAGACTTGTAGACCAATGATACAGAATAGAGGACATAGAGACAAGCCCACATAAATATAGTTATCTCATACTAGACAAGGGTGCCAAAAACATTCACTGGAGAAAAGATAGCCTATTCATCAAATGATGCTGGCAAAACTGAAAATCCATATGTTGCAAAATGAAATTAAACCTGTATCTCACCCTGCACAAAAATCAACTCAAAGTGGATCAAAGACTTAGGCACTAGAACAGAGACCCTGCGCCTAATAGAAGAAAAAATAGACCCAAATCTTTACCACGGGGCTGGAGCTGTAGCTCAGCGGTAGAGCGCCCACCTTGTACGTGTGAGGCACTGGGTTCCATCCTCAGCACCACATAAAAAATAAAGAAAGATTTTGTCCAACTACAATTAAAAAAATATTAAAAAAAAAATCTTCACCACTTCGGCCTAGGATCTGACTTCCTTAACGACACTCCTAAAGTGCAAGAAGTAAAATCAAGAATCAATAAATGGAATGGATTCAAATTAAAAAGCTTCTTCTCATCAAAGGAAACAATTAATAACATGAGGAGAGAGCCTACAGATTGGGAGAAAATCTTTACCACATTCAACTTCAATAAAGCACTAATCTCTAGGATATATAAAGAACTCAAAAAACTTAACACCAAAAAAAAAATCAAATAACCCAATCAGTAAATGGGTCAAGGAACTGAATAGACACTTCACAGAAAAAGAAATATAATTGATAAACAAACATGAAAAAGTATTCAACATCTCTAGCAATTACAGAAATGCAAATCAAAATTACTCTCAAGATTTCTTCTCATTGCAGTCAGAATGGCAATCACCAAGAATACCAGTAACAATAAATGTTGATGAGGATATGGAGGAAAAGGTACATTCATACATTGCTGGTGGGACTGTAAATTGGTGCAACCTGCAACTCTGGAAAGCAGTATGGAGATTCCTCAGAAAATTGGGAATGGAACCACCATTTGACCCAGCTATCCCACTCCTTGGTTTATACCCAAAGGACTTAAAATTATCATACTACAGTGATGCAGCCACATCAATGTTTATAGCAGCTCAATTCACAATAGCTAGACTATGGAACCAACCTAGGTGTCCCTCAATAGATGAATGGATAAAGAAAATGTGATATATATATACTCAATGGAATATTACTCAGATTTAAAGAAGAGTAAAATTACGGAATTTGCCAGTAAATGGTTGAAGTTGGAGAATATCATGCTAAGTGAAATAAGCCAATCCCACAAAACCAAAGGCCGAATGTTTTCTCTAATATGTGGATGCTAATTCACGATAAGGTGAGAGGCACTAGGGAAGAACAACATTACTTTAGATTAGGTAGAGGGAAGTGATAGGAGGGGAGGGGAGGGGATGTGGGGATACGAAAGATAGTAGAATGAAACAGACATTATTACTGTATGTATAATGTGACTATATGACCAATATGATTCTGTAACATGTACACTCAGAAAAATGAGAAGTTATATCCCATCTATGTATGATATATCAAAGTGCATAAATGCATTCTACTGTCATGTGTAACTAATTATAACAAATAAAAAAAATTAAAATGAAGAAAATAACAGTTTCCAATGTCAATACCTTATGACATGAGGCTCCAGCATGACTGTCAGCTTAGAAGTTAGTTCTAAATGGTCATTTGTATGTCCCTTGTCTCTTCATTCCCTAGCAACAAGGGTTAGAAACCAGACCCTAACCCTAAGCAAAAGTTTTCAAAAATCTGTCAGTCATTTGCTACCTTCACAAATGTCATTTTATCTGCATGCCACTCTATTGTTATTTGCTGACTAATTTTTCTTTAAGTTACCTGAGCCTGACTCCATTTTTATTAGGCCTTGTTCCAAGCAAGATACCCACTAAATATTTCACTATTTAAATAAAATCTCTTTAAATAAAAAAATAAACAATTAAAAATGTTTACTGTCATTCAGTTACAATAATTCTGTGCACTTTGAAGAAGACAGAAGAAGAGTTTAGGCTGCAGAGACATGAAGCCAAAAATGGTTGTACTTTGCCCTGAAGCCTACGGGCTGAGAGGGGCCTTGACCTGCACTGCACCTCAGATGTGAATCCCTTGTCACAAAGTTCCTTCCTTTGAACATCATCATAGTCTTCCAAGAAGTGGGAAAAACAAAGAAGGACCTCTCTCCACCTGATGGAAGCTGTTTTTCTGCCACTGCCTGGAGGGAAGTCTCAGACCACCCTGCCATCCTCTCCTCTGTGTGTAAAGAAACTTGCTCTTCACCCTAAACCAGAACCTTCCACAGTTAAACTTGCTTTCCATGGTGGACAAAGGGGCGGGGCTCTCTTGTTGTGCGTGGAGAGCCTTTTTTTTTTTTTTTTTTAACTGAGACCTATTTTCACTATTTTGGGGTACTTACTTTTTGCCCCAACATTCCAGGAAATCCTGGGAAACCCTGTGAACAGAACAACAAATATCATGACCACCTCTGAAATAACCCTTGAAAGGGCAGAGGATGAGCTTGGTTCACCCATTTTCAAGATGGAGGCCTGCCAGTCCCATCCGTCATCCAGCCTACAGGTGGGGTGAGCTGGGGGCTGCTACTTGCATTGCAGTTTAGCATTTCTATGTTCTTACCTTTTCTCCTTTGGGACCCAAGTCACCCCTTTCACCTCTGGATCCCTAGGAGGAAACCACAGGAGAGAGGCAATGAGTTAATATCAAGGGGGAGGGTGGGGATTGAAGCATTTGAAACTGAAAAGCTTCCTAAGACAACACCCTCATTTTACGAAGACATAGGCTCACAGACGTTACATGGTTTGCTCAGCAAAGGAAAGGTTTGTGACTACCTTCTGTTTGGACACCCCCCAAACCTTTTGCATAATAATGAAGCACAACTTACAGAGAATCTTGGGTCCTAGATCCTCTCTTATCCCAAAGGAAGTCTGTTCTCAAGTCCCTTCTGGCTTTTTTTTTTTTTGGTTTTGACAGATGAGAAGGGCAGGTGGTAGAAGTCTGCTCTAAGGACACAGACCTGCCACCTTCCTCCAGCATCCCCATGAATACTGTGTACCTCCACTGGGAGCGCCCCCTTATCCTGCCTCAGGAGACCCCTCACCTCTTCCTCAGTCCACTGACAAAGGACAGAGGAACAGCTAGGAATGGCTTTTGTAGTTAGTGACTAATGAGAGGCCTGGGCCCGTCCTCTGTCCGCCACCAACTGTGGAGCCTGTAACCCAGACCAGGCTCTGGGATGCCATCAGAGACAAGTACTGACCTTTTCCCCTCTGGATCCTGGGTAGCCCTAAAAGAAAGCAGAAAGTGCATTTAAAATCAGCTCTGTAGGGCCTGTGGGTGTGGTGGAGAATGGAAAGAGTCCCCCAACGTAGTGCTGATGGGTCTCCACATCACATTGCAAGTTTTCGTGGAATTGCAACAGATGTCCCTGAGGATTATGCTTAAAGCACGCCTCAGAAGAACATGGTTTTCCTCATCGCACAAAGGTTTTCATCTGTTCAAACGTCTAGAGGCTTGAGCTTAACAGGCCAGGAGAACAGCAGGAATGGCATCCTTATGCCCCTGAATTTCAGGGCATGATGTCCCCAAAGTGCCTCTAAAGACTAGCACCCGGCACTGACTCTCTAATACCTATGACATTCTGCAGCCCAGGATGGTGACTCTGCCCTTCCCGTCTCTGAGGACAGCAGCTGCTCTAGAGCCTTAGTGAGAAGATCTGGGGATATCCATCTGGACCACACACTGACCTTGGAGCCCATTGGTCCTCTTGACCCTGGCAAGCCCATCATGCCCAGGTCACCTTTTTCACCCTGTGTGAATTAGAAGAGGGGAAAGGAGACACACAGTGACATTTCTTAGAGAAACTGAACCAAGAGAATCATAGGCAGGATTGGGATGGAACCAGGAACATTGGGGTTGGATTGTGAATCTGAGGTCCCCAAATGACCCCTTGCCCCCTCCTAGAGGCCCAAGGTTCCATACTCCACCTTTCATTCTGGTTTGAGATTAAATATAAAATGAAAATGCCCAAGGTAGAGCAGATCTCCAAACTAAATACTCACTAAGCTGTTGTAAATGGTGATACTTGATCTTTTCCTAGAAAAGGTTGTAAGAGGGTAGGGGAGAAAGCATGAGGGCATGGAGATTCAGAAGACAAAGTTTTAACACACACACACAAAAATCTTTGTACGACTTGCTCTTTGCATATGGAGGGCCTTTGAGACATCATCATAGACTCTCACTCTAGGTTTTCAGTCGTGTATAGTGAACATCAACCTCTGGGTGTATACTATGGAGGCAGGGGCTTAAGAATTATGGATGGGCTTTCTTGCCCCTCAGAACAATCTGCATTTGGAACTTCCAGCATCTTCCATGCTAAGAAAATTCTAAACTAGGACTAACCATTATAAATATGAGGTGAGCCACATGCTGAATTTTAAATGTTTTTAGAAGTCATCTGAAAAGTAAAGCTAAGCAGATGACATTTATTTTACCAATATATTTTATTTAATTTCTCATTTCAACATGTAGCAAATATAAAATGATCAATGAGTATTTTACATTCTGGTTTTTTTTATATTTAATACTTGAAGTCTGTTGTGTATTTTGCATTTAAGGAATATCCCAATTCAGGAGCTAAATTCTCATTCCAAACACTTGACCTGTGTTTAGATTTCACAAAATTTATAGTTGAAAAAGCAGCCACACCTTCAAGTTGCTCCAAACATACCTGAAAGTTTTCAAATGATTAAAATGAGTCAAGGTTTTAAAATTCAGATTTAGATGGATTAAAATTAAACATTCAGTTCTTTGGTTGAACTAGTCACATTTCAATAGCCACCTGTGGTTAGTGGCCACCATGTTGGGCAGCTCAGCCCTGGGCAGTGGATTTTTAAAAGAAATGTCCTGAGGACTTTTGCTACCAGGACTGGAAACAGTTTTCTACTCCTATAGTATCGTCAGCGAGGGAATCAGAGCAGTTGGTGACATTCACCTATCTACCCCTACAGGTAAAATTCGAAGTCAGAGCCTCCCACCCTGTCTATGTAGTTCATGACTGGCAGTGAGAAGAACCTAAACCAAAGCAGGGGTATTTGCGTTCACTACCCTTTCTGAGGAAGGGAGTTTCATCAACGTTTGGCAATATCTCTCTCGATGGAAGATTTCCATTCTTCCCAGTTGACAACTCCTTCAACCCTCCTTTCCCCAAGCTGTCATTCCCTGCCCAATCATCACCACCGGCAAGAGCTTCCCATGCACAAGTCCCTTTTGGATCATCTCAGGGAAACCAAAGCATAGAACGCTACTTTTAAAGACAATGGAGAAACCGTGCCTCTGTAGAAGAAGGGAAGAGTCCCCCATTTCTCCTCCCACAGGAACAAAGCCTTTGCACGCAGCAAGGTCTGCAGGCCAGGGAAGGAGGAAATGTTTGGGGACCTGTGGACAGTCCTCAGGCTCTCTTCTTCCTCTCTTGAGGACGTGATTCACTGAGCATGTGCTAGGGCAGCTGCCATCTTCCCCACCCGCCCTTGTTTGGATACCACATGAGCCCATCAGCACAGGACACTTACCCTGGGTCCTTCAGGGCCAGGCCAGCCGACAGGCCCAGGCATGCCAGGAACACCTGGGGGGCCAGGTCTACCCTTCAAGAACCAAGAACAAAAGTCAGAAAAAGTGGGCTCATGTTTCCTTCCTTCCGAGAATATCTGGGGTCCAGGAATGAAAATGGGGCCTCCAAACATGGCCCCCAGATTCTCAGCCTCGTCCTTTAAAGACAGAGACCCTAAAATGTTGGAACTTAGGTGTAGGTTAAATCCTTGATGTCATAGAGTATCACCAAACAGGATTTTATTTTACCCAAGGAGTGGAGGATAGTGGGAAAGAAAGTCTGAATGTCTTTGCTTTCCAATCACTGTCACCTCCACCTAACTACCCTAATGTCCCCTGCATTCCAGTGGGTTCTCTCCACAAGGATGGGCTGTGGGATGAGATAGCATTAGCATGGGGAGCAGCAGCAGATGCTGCTGGTACTCAAGTCTTAAGGTCTTTTTACCTGTTCAGAGTGCCCATCCCCCGTGGCTACACTTCTCACTAACAATTCATCTCTGCAACCTGCAACTGTGGAGTTTGCGCTTGGGCAATTGGAGCTGTCCCGTCATTTACATTGGCTCTTTCTGCAGCCAATGGTCCAGATCCCTTACCTCAAGGCAGGACCTACCATCAGGCAATCCATGCTCCAAAGCTTCCCTAGGAATCAGGCTACTGAGGCTGGACTTCACCTTATACTATATCTTTGCTCGCCTTCTCCCGCTCTCTCCAGACACCTCCTCCAGTGAGAACTCCCTTAATAATTTATTCACTTGTGCATGTGTCTGCTTCCAGGAAACCCAACCTAAACCAAGGACTACAAGAGTCAATAGGAGAATGGGCTCGGGGTCTATCTGGACCTCTGTACCCACTGGCTAATTGCACAGTTAGCGAGAGACCTGAAGGGTGCAGAAAAGCCAAAGGTTAGCATGTGCAGTGATTCCTACTCTTGCCTCCCACACCCGGGGCAGATATCATCAATCAACATGGCCCTTGTTCTCTCTTAGCAGGGAACCACTCCAGAACCCTGCTCAGCCCACTATGCTATGGCTGACGTTGTCATCTGTACCTTGCAAACATCTGTTTAAGGCTTCTGTTGACAGCAAAACCATTTGAATAAAACACTTCACCAGGAATAGAGTCATCTCTATTTAGAGCCCTGGGCATCTTTCTTGGCCAACATTTTACCCTTCTTTCATTTACGAGACCTGGGGTTTCAGTGCCAGTATCCACTGATCACAGCTAGTAAAATCGTCTGCTGCTTTGCTCCTCCTTGACACGCATGACAGCCTTGATAACCCATGTTGGGCTCACACAGAGGCACTGTGACCTTAAGCCAAAGAGCAAAAGCCATTTTGTTTCTATCTGCTCAGTCATTTTATTCCAGTTTCATCAAATAGATAAGGTGGCCTGAACCTGAGGGCAATTTGGCCAGGCTTGTCAACCCCTGGAAGAAGTCTGAATGCCTGGCGGTGGCAGGCTCCAGCTTCTGACTGAGGACCAGGAGAATGAGCAAGGCTACTTGTCGTCATCAGGATGGCCACACCATCACTGTCCACCTGGGTCCTGGTGGCCACAGGAGTGTGTCACTGCTTCCCCGCCCCAGGAATGCACACACACTCACACGCATGTGCAGCACAGTTGCCCGGATGGTGCTGACAAAACAGCAGCGTCCATACCTTCCTTCCTGGTCGGCCAAGCTCCCCCTGTGGATGGAGAAGACAGGTAAACAGAAGCAGCTCTGGGAGAGAGGTTCTGGCAGCAGAACCTCAACTAGGGCAAATGACAACTGGTCATGGCAGTGTGGCTCAGCCTGTTGACCAGTCACTTGGCTGGTCACAGCATCCCTGTGGGGCTAGTGGGCCAAATCAGAATACACCAGTGTGCCCTGGCCCATTATCAGGGCTCGTCCTCACACACTCTAGGCAGAATGGTCTCAACTGGTAAAATCTCAGTGGCACCCCCCAGAAATCAAGCTGGAATTACCAAGGAGAGGTGGGTTGAAGAAAAGAGTGGCTCATACCTTTTCTCCCTTTGGTCCTGTCTTGCCAGGAAGTCCGGGTGGACCCTATACAATTAAGACAAGAATGAAGAAAAAATATACCCAACTAAGGCAGAGCTGCTGGGGAGGGAGGGGGAGAGGGAGGGAGGGGCTCCTACAGAAGCAGCCTTGATCTCTGTATGGATGTGCGGCTCCCAAGGCCCCTTTCTGCCCTGCAACCCCTTCCCCCCTCTATTCCTCCTCCTCCTTAACTTTCTTGGCACTGTTTTTCCAGCAATGCTAACCCATCCACACTCAGTGACTGTAATTTTTACCCTGGAGCCTTTTGATTGCCTGAAAACTCTTGAGAGCTTATTGAGAACAACTAAAGAGTTTGGCAGAAATCCTGGTAGCTGAAAACACGACCCTTTACCATCTCTCAGGTCTTTTCAGCTACTCACATCAAGCTTCTGGGGGGCCCTGACAAGAGGGAAGTTAAGTTTTATACCCAGCAGCAGCTGATTTAGAACACCCTGTGGTTGACCTGTGGGTACCAAGATCAACCTTCCCACCTGGAGCAGCAAAATTCTATTTTACTTTTTTTTTTTTTTGAGCGGGGATTGAACTCAGAGGTGCTTTTCCACTGAGCCACATCTCCAGCTCTTTTTATTTTTTATTTTGAGACTGGGTCTCACTAAGTTGCCAAGGGGCATCACTAAGTTGCTGAGGCTAGCCTCAAATGTGCAATTCTCCTGCCTCAGTCTTCTGAGTTTAGGAGGATTACAGGTCTGTGCCACCATGCCTGGCAAAGGTGTTCTTTTTTAAAATGTGAAGAATGCGAGCAAGTAAACTCACATTTCTCTCCCCATGGTCAGCCACAGGAGTGAGGAGATTCCACCTCAGGGGCTTAGAACCCATTGCCCCAATGCTATGCACACCCACAACAAAATTGCAACTGCTTTCTGCTTACATGTCTGTGGGGTGCTCAGTCACTATTTTCTAAATTCCCCAGGACTACAGGAAACTCATCAAAATCCCTTGGGCTCCCGCAACATCCCTAGGATCTGCAGATGAACATGCACAAAGTAGAGACTGTTTGAAACAGGATTTCTCACCAGGCATGAGACCCTGTCTCTAAATAAAATATAAAAAGGGCTGGGATGTGGCTCAGTGGTTAATCATCCCCTGGATTCAATCCCTGGTAGAAAACAAAACAAAACAAACAAACAAACAAAAAAACAGAAAAGGAAAGAAAAAGAAAAGAGAAATGGGATTTCCCTGAAACTTGTCAAAACCACCAAGAGCCTAGCCCCCTCAGCCAGTGATTCCCAGATCTAGCAGCACATTCCAATCCCCTGGGGAATCTTAAAAAAAAAAAAATCCCAAAGCCCAGTTCACACACTGGACCAGTCAAATAATAATCTCAAAGGGGGAAAAAATATAAGCCTTAGGAATTTTTGAAGCTTCCCAGCTCAGAGAGTATGGAGAACCCAAGAGAACCTCACTGGGGCTGAGCTGGGTGTCTCTCTGTGGTGGAGCCCCTCTCTGAGGCAGGCCAGAGGAGCAGGAATCTGAGAGAGGGTTTCTGGAGGGTAATCTTTTGTTTGTCTAGAAAATTCTTTCTCTAGCAGTTTGCCTGTACCTCACTTTCCCCACCACCCTTGGTAGCAATACCAGGGGCCCAAGGAAGCTCCTCTTACCCCCACTTTTCTGTACTAAATGCAGACACCTCTGGGTCCTCAGATGGGGCCAATAGTCACATGAGGCCCGTTATCATCAAGGGTTTGTCCAATGCTAACTAAATCATAGCCACATCCATATAGACAGTATCTCTCTTGATCCCCCAAAATCCAGTAGGACAGAAGCAACTAAAAAACATCTTTTGGCTTGTTTATTTCTTTGTTGTCCTTCCTTCCTTCCTTTTTATTTTCCTCTCGCAGGGGCAATTATTATGATTATTATCTCCCTGGAATAGATGAGGAAATCACAGCTGGGAGCCGAGGATTCACCCAGGTGGCTCTGGAGTGGCAAGTAAGAAGAGAAAGAAAACTGATTTTCCACATCACATTAAAAGGGGCAGACACCATGAAACTCTACCCAGGGGGCTCCCCTGGGTTGGAACAGAACGCAGGAGGGAGGGGTCTGGTAGAACACCAACCTGGGGGCCGGGGGGTCCAGGGGAGCCGAGAGAGCCCTGCATGCATGGGGACTGTGTGGTCTCGAGTTCCAGGAGGAGATTCTTCATGTCTGGGGAGAGAAGCTTCAGTGCAAAGCAACACAGTGTTAGAAGTCAGACTCAGGGAACAGAGGAAGGGTCATCTCCCTGGACACAGCTCAGGTCCAAGACTGGCGATTCCCTGACATAGCAGTATGTATTCTGAGAAGATGACCTTTTGGGCCACCAGTTTCGATTCTCTCATCTGCTCTTGAGACCCACCCGGCATGAATGGGTTACTGAGCTAGCAAGGCCACTTTGGATGGAGTTAGGAAGCTCATTTCAGGACTTTATCCCATGTCTAGGATAGGCATGTCTAAAAGAAATATAATGCAAAACAAATATCCAAAAGAAACATAATGAGAACTACATTGTAGTTTAAAATTTTTCTGGTAGCCACATTTTTACCTTTTGAAAAGGTAAAAACAAACAAGTGAAGTTAATTTTATAGTATGTTTAATTTAACCCAACAGACCCCAAATATTATCACTTCAGCATATATTCAGTATAAAAAGTAACTAATGAGGCATTTTACAATCTTTTTTTTTTTCATATGAGGGCTTCACGCTCCTGTTTATCTGTTTATTTATTTCAACCAAGAATCCTCAGAATTTAATTGTATTATAGACTAAACATACCCAACAGGCATTTACAGAGCAGTTCATCCAACACATGTATATATTTTATTCTGTGCATACACAAACTCCTGTTTATGTCAAACAGCATATCTCAGTGTGAACATTGAAAGTGCTCAGAGCGCAAGTGGCTGTGATTTTGGACAGTATAGGTCTAGGAGATTCCAGAAAGATCTGAGTGTCTCAAGTCCCTAGAATGCCCTGGATGGATGTCTTCTAAGTCCTGAGTCCTGCTCCTTTCCTCTCTTCCCCAAATCTGTTCCCTCTCATCCCTCAGTGTGGCTACCGAAAGGCTCTTTCCTGTGTCACTCCATGAACATGGTCTGCCTATGACATGGGCTGTGGAAGGGAATTTATCGTTTCTTTTCCTTTAATTGGCACATAATATTTGTACATGTTTATGATACACTATGATAATTCGATATATGTCTATAATGTGTAATGATCAAATCAGGGTAATTAGCGTTTCGGCCTCCTCAAACCTTTATCATTTCTACATGTTGGGAATTTTTTGGACTCTCCATTTCTAGTTATTTTGAAATATATCATAAATTGAGGTAGGCTGTAGTCACCCTACTGTGCTCTAGAACACGGGAAGTGTGTTTTGGTACCTGTTATCCACCCTCTTCCTATCCCCCTTCTGTACCCTGCTCCCCCATTTTATCCAGATTCCCCCATCTCCTCTCTCCCCAGGGAATTTTGTAAATGCTTGGGGAGAAGAAAAAGGTAAAGGGAGAATCCATATCTGGATAGCTGATGGGAACCCAGAAATTTATAAATACGCCCATTGTTTAAAAAAAAGATGGGACAAATTTTGCCAAATTCAACTCCCATGGGAGAAGACCCTCTCCAACATTGCTGATTTAAGACAGCAGGAGGACAAATACGTTCCAGAAACTGCAAAGTGTCCATTCTAGGGTTCAAACTCAGAGTGAGAATAAAGGGTTGACCTATAGCAAGAGTCTGCAGGAAGCCCCTGTTGAGTGGGTGGGGTGCAGAGTGGGCATCCAGAAGCCTGGAATTCTTCACTCTCTCAAGCCCCATGTACTCACCGGACTTCGGCCCCCTCTGAAGAAGGGTGGTGGGAACAGTGGGGGTGGAGGGGGTGTCAGCAGGCAGCATGCTTTGTGGCTGCCACGTTTCTTCTGATCCAGGCCAGGAAGGGCTGTGTAGAGAAAACTGCTGCTCGTTAGCGTGAGTTCAGAGCTAGGCTCTCTGCCATGCCCAGCACACCCAAGGGAGACCCACGTGGCCACCCCAGACTTCCAAATCTAATTTCTAACCTGTTGGAGATGGGAGCAGAACTCCTGTCTGCTACTTGACAAGCCCTTGTATTGCTTTTGCTGAATTAAAATGGTGACCATTGTAAGATCCTCCTTCACAGGTTGGTAAATACCTAGGAGCGAAATTGCTGGGCTATAGTTCACGTCTATGTTCGGCTTTTAATAGAAAATAACAAGTGATTTTCCAAAGAGATTATACTAACTTACACTCCCACCAGCCAGTGGAGGACAGTTTCTCCTTCTACTGAGATTAACTTGTAGATTTTGTAGATGTGGCAAGGAATGCCAAGTTCAGATGGTAGTTGGGGAGTTGTGTCCCCAGTAATTGGGGAGAAGGAAGTGTTTTTAAAAACTTTGATACTAGGGAGGAAATCGTTCAGACAGGAAGGCAGCAAGGGCTAGAGGTAGGGTTAATTGATTTTAAGGTACTTGTACCCATGATTAAAATACAGACTCCAGGATGAACTCAACTTCTATATATAACTATAAAGATCTAATAAAAATAAAATAAAATTCAGACTCCACTTATATACAAGGATCACCCATTTCATAAAGAGTCATAGTATAGTGTCTCAATACTTGGGTGTCCTAATCCCAAGCGTGAGGACCTATAGAGCTTGATTTTCAGGTGGGATCTTGCCAATGTTCCATCTCAGCACACATTCAGTGTTGAAGCATGCTTTACGAAAAGAATGCAGATCAAAAGTTACAGCCCAGTAGATTTCTGTGAAGTGAACCGACTCTAGAAACCAGCACCCAGACCAAGAAATAGGACCAGAAGCCCCTTACGCTCCAATCTGTATCCTCACCTACCACCATCCTGAATTCTAACACCAGGGATTTATCTTGCCCATTTAGACATTCTATATAAATGGAACCATACATTATGAATTCTTCTGATTGTCTTCTCTTGCTCAACCCAAGAGCCATCCAGACTGATCTTTGTAGTTATTACTGCTGAATGGAGCTCCATGTGGTTAGACCACAATCCACTCATCTATTGATGAGTGGGCAATGGTGGGCAATGGTGATGTTCATTGGGGTGATACCGCTAGTACCCACCAGAATAGCTAAATGAAAATGGGAGAGACTACCAGGAAGCAAAGTCTGGCTGTCTGGCTTTGCTCCGGATTGGACAAAATGTTAGAAAGCAAGGGCTACTCTGACTGGGCATCTTAATTCTTTTTTTTTGAACCAGGATATTGAACCCAGGGGTGCTTAACCACCGAGCCACATCCCCAGCCCCTTTTAAAATTCTTTTATTTTGAGACAGGGTCTCACTAAGTTGCTCAGGGCCTTGTTAAGTTGCTGAGGCTGGCTTTGAACTTGCCATCCTCCTGCTTCAGTCTCCTGAGACACTGGGACTACAGGCATGTGCCATATTCTTATCTGGAAGAAGAGATGCCACAAATAAGGATGTTAAACAGCCAGAACTGTCATCCATTGGCTGGGGGGAGTGTAAGTTGGTACAACCTCTTCAGAAAATTGCTTGGTATTTTCTATTAAAGGTAAGCATACACATACGCTGTGGTCCCACAATTTCACTCCTAGCTATTTATCAACAGAAAGGTAGAGGGATTTTCATTAAAAAAACACAAGTAAATAGAAACAATATTCATAATTGCCAAAATAAATGATTTTTGGGTTCCTAGTTTTTTGGGGGGTTTATTTGTTTTGTTTTTTGTTTTGTACCAGGAATTGAAACCAGAGGAGCTCTATCACTGAGCTAAACCCCCAGCCCTTTTTATTTTTTATTTCGAGATGGGGGTCTCAGTAAGTGGCCCAGGCTGACCTCAAACTTGCAATCCTCCCGCCTCAGCCTCTGGAGTTGCTGGGATTACAGGAGTGTGCCACCATAAGTGACTTTGTTCCCAGTTTTAGTCTTATAATGGGACCCCTACCTTTACCCCATAACAGAATCTCTGACATCACAGAACGTTTGCAGGTTTCCCACTACATAGGCAGTTCTTACTCAGTTTTTAGTCTTATCACCAGGAAGCTTCTCTTCACTTCCCAGGCCAAGGTTGAGTGGCCCTGCTACCCTGCTATGTTTTTCTCGGGGTTTATGGTCATGTTAGTTCTTCCTCACAGATGAAGCTGTTTCATTATATCTTATTGATTATTGTACTTTCCAGGAGGACAGGGGTCAATTTTCATCACCAGTCTCTAACACTGTACCTAGTAGACAGTAAGCGCTCCATAAAAGTTTGCTGAACTAATAACAAACACACACATACACACCAGGGGCATCTAACTACGAAGCCACACCCCCGCCCCCACTCCTTTTTAATATACTTTGTTTTTAGATAGGGTCTCCCTGAATTGCTTAGAGCTTTTCTAAGTTGTTGAGGCTGGCTTTGAACTCACGATCCTCCTGTCTCAGCCTCCCAAACTGCTTGGATTATAGGCGTGCATCTCTGTGCCCATCTGAACTAATAATATTGATGACAAACACTACAAGGCAGTGTAGTTCTTGTGTATAAATTTACCTAATCCTCAAGACAAACCTGAGAGCTAACTGCTATTTTTATCTCCAACCTCATTTTACAGGTTTGTTAACCAAAGCAATGAGTTAAGCAATTTGCCCCGTCCTATAGCTAGTAAATGAACCAAACCAAACTACTGTGGGTCAAAATGAAGGTCAGGGACTGAGAGGGAGGCAAGGAGCTCCCTAACAACCCCTAGCGACTGTTGTATCAATGTTCTCCAGAGACCACTGAGAATATAACTAGTCCAACCAAGTTGGGTTGTCAGAGTCATTGCAACAGGATGTACACACAATCAGGGGACCCTGGAGGCATCTCAGTAAGAGAGAGTTAGAAAGAATTTATTCTAGGATTTGAGGTTTTGCTAGGTGATTTGGAGGGAGACCATGAGAAGCAAAGTCTGGCTTTGCTCTGCATTGAATGCTGTCAGGAAGCAAGGGCTACTCTGATCAGGCACCTGAATTCTCATCCAGAATAGAAGACTAATGGGTAAAAAGCAGCCATTATTCATATTCACAAGGATGGGGAAACGCTCATTTTCGTGGCTGGATGACAGCCATGCTTTGTCTGTGTTTGGTTATGGTTTTCGGGTGCTCCTGTTTTCATGCAGATCCCTCAAGGTCATGGAATGGTGCTGCCTGAGGTTGGTGCTCTGGGAATTTGTTCACATGCTGCAGGGGTCATATGGCAAGCTGTGAGCATTGGGTCTGTTCCAGCTGACACCGGCTGCTTTTCCCTAGTGGTGAGAGGTAAGTTCTTCTTTTTCTTTTGGTCCTGGGGATTGAACACAGGGGTACCTAACCACTGAGCCACATCTCCAGCTCTTTTTTATATTTTATTTAGAGATAGCATCTCACTGAGTTGCTTAGGGCCTTGCTACTTTGCTGAAGCTGGCTTTGAACCCACAAAACTCCTGCCTCAGCCTCCCAAGTCACTGGCATGAGGGTATGTGCCACCCCGACCGGCAGTAGGTTGTTCTTGACCTTGACATTGATGCCGGTTCTTTCCTAAAGTGTGAACTAACTAGGAGTGGGCAGCTTCAGTTGCCACCCTACCTGGGGCACATGGAGAAGGTGGCAGATGTATACCACCCCCCCGAAGGACCCCCAGCTACAGTTTCTCGGCAGTCTCTCTTTCGCCTCTGTAGATGGCTAACGGCTGGGTAAGGCTTCAGCTTTCGGCAAAAATCTCTCCCGGCTAGGATCACCTGAGAACCTGGCAGTTCCCCAAAGCTAATTTGCACTCATTTATTTTTCCAGACCATATACGGCTTCCAGTGCCTTCCTTTCTTCCCCCAGGACCCTGTGTGGCTCCCATTGATGAAACATCTTGTATCATTTAAGGCAGTCACTTTGCTTCTCTGATTTCTTCCTGGAAACTGGAGACCTCTTCAGGGACCATAAATTATCAGTTGCTTTTTTTGCAAAGGCATCTGCTTTGCCCGTGCCCCCACTCCACCCCGCCCCCCGGAATCCCTCCTCCCTCTTTCCCCCTTGACCCACTTCATTTCCAGCAGGTGAAGGCCATTGATTCCTGCCCCTCCCCCAACTCCCTGGAGCTGTTTGTTTTTAGCCCAGTCTAGTTTATTTACAGCTCATTCCAGCTCAGAATATTTCCATCAGGTGGCCGTGTTTGGGAGCAGCTCTCCCCCTTCCCACCCTCCCCATCAGCTAAGCCAGGACTTCACATGTCTATTTTGGTGTCATCCAGTGGCCTGTGGATCTCTCTCAGGACTATTGCCGTCTCTATTGGAATCATGTCTGGAAAAGCCCCAGAAGCCTCTGTTGTAATGGAAACAATTGTGTGTGTATGTTCAGGGGCCTGCAGAAAACCCGTGCCCCACGCGGCTCAGCTCCCGGCCAGCTGTCTTGAAAAAGCCAACTGTCACAGAATTTCAGGACTGTTGACCTCACTTAAAGACACCAAAGTCATATCACGCGTGGCCACTGCATTGCCAAATTATGGATAATTGTCTAATGCAGGCTTTTGGCAAGTGTTTGGGGGTTCCCCCCACCATGGTTCATGCTGTTTTTGCCCTTTGGACTCAGTACTCAATCTCCTGTTTCATCTTGAGAAACTGAGGGAGATCCTTGCTACTTTGCTGAGTCTGGCTTTGAACCCACAAAACAACACAAGTTGGGTTGTCAGAGTCGGAAAGAGACTCACACCAACTTACTCTTGGAAATGTAGGGACTTGTGTCAAAGAGTGTGATCTGGGTACAAGCGGACGTGTGATATGGTGTAATTCCCGTCCTCAACCTGAGACTCAGTTTCCTGATCTGTACCACAAGAGATTTGATCCACCCCATCTCCAAGGTCCTTTTTAAAAATAAACACAATCCAGTCACAAGGGCAATTATTAAGAATGCAAGTAACAATAAATATTGGCGAGGATGTGGGGGAAAAGGATGCACTTAAACATTGCTGGTGGGGACTGCACATTAGTGCAACCACTCTGGAAAGCAGTATGGAGATTCCTCAGAAAACTTGGAATGGAACCACCATTTGACTCAGTTATCCTACTCCTCAGTCTATACCCAAAGGACTCAAAATCAGCATACTACAGTGACGCAGCCACATCAATGTTTATAGCAGCACAATTCACAATAGCTAAGCTATGGAACCAAACTAGGTGTCCCTCAATAGATGAATGAATAAAGAAAATTTTACAGATACACAATGGAATATCACTCAGCCATAAAGAAGAATGACTTTATGACTTTGCTGGTGACTGGATGGCACTGGAGACTATCATAGTAAGTGAAAGAAGCCAATCTCCAAAAAACAAAGACTGAATGTTCTCTCTGATATGTGGATGCTAACACATAATAAGGGGGAAGGGGAAGAATAGAAGAATAGAAGCTCATGGGATTAGACAAAGGGGAATGAAGGGAAGGGAGGGGATTGGGAATAGGAAAGACAGTGGAACAAATGGGATGTGACTTTCCTGGGTTCATATATGAACACACGACCAGTGAAACTCCACATCACGTCCAACCACAAGAATGGGATCCTAACTAGAATAAGTTAGACTCCATGTATATAGAATACACTCTACTGTCATGTATATCTAAAAAGAACAAATGCAAGAAGCGACACGAGAAGTCATCCTGCATTAGCAGGTTGGGAAACATGGTGAGTGCAGCCACATGCTGAGATTCTGCCGCTGCTTGTCCAGTTGGTGGACTGTTGCACATTTTGCTTCCTTCTCCTCCTCCTGCTTTGGGGCCTTAACCTGCCTCCTGATACTGGTGTTAGAAGGAGGCCTGGGGATGAATGAGAGATGGTGGGGGGCACCTGTGATACCCTCCACAGCATCACCTGGTGCCCCAATAGTTGTCTGGACATCTCAGCAACCAACAAGTTATCAGACTAACTGGCTACAGTCTGCCCAAAGTTTCCCATGATGTACATATTCCACAAAAGGCTGAACCCTAGAACTTTCCTTCATCCATCCTCCCCGCCCATGCACGCACCATACAAGCCTTAAAGCACAAATCTCTTCCTAAAAGTAGAAATAATTTGAACTTCTCTGAAAGACCAGGGTAGAAGTTTGCTATTTGTGACTCACACCCAGAGTGGGCCCAGGGGACAGGTGGCGACACAACCTATGAAGAAAATGATTTGGTGTTTTGGTGGCTGCTGCTTCTAAGCCATGTTACCTAAACTAGCTGGCCTGGAGAGCGTCCTAGCCACCTTACGCCAGGGGACTCTGGACTGCAGAACACAATTTCATCTCAAAGCCGAGGGAACAGCAGCTACCAGCCTGCCACCCTGAAGTCAAGGTCACAAGAGGGGCACAAAAAATGGGCACGTATGTTGAGGTCCCCACCCACTCCTCTGCAACCCCCTTCACCCTGCATTCCCAACACTGGCTGAGAAGTTTAAAATTTTGAAGTCTTCTCAGAGATCCCAGGATAGGTCTGCTCTCCAGGGTTTTTTTTTCCCCCCCAAACCATCGGAGCAGGCGCGTGCACACAGGACTCACCCAGGCTGCAAGATGAGTAGCACAGCAGTCCCGAAAGGGTGAGCAGATGAGCCAGGCTGAATGATGGGCGCGTCATGGTGGGGCAAGGCCCAAGGCAGACTGGCCCGGGGACGCGAGCTGGAGACTGGCTGGGATTCGTCACGCCCCCAAGTGCTCCCTGAGCCTGGCCTGCTTGGCATTTGGGGTGGGAGCTGGCCAATCCCTGCTTTGATGTTGCTTCTGCCCCAGATGCCAGGGGTCCAGGGGCCAGGGATGGGTAGGCAGCCCTGCCCTGGCCACCCAGCAATGCTCCTCTGGGGCAGGCTGGGAAGACACACTGGCCTCCGCCCAGGGGAGGACGGGATGTGAGGTTGGGAGCCCAGGGCACTGATCACCCCCGCAGGCTGAGAGGAAATGAAGTGCAATCCGTCAAACAGGCTGCTTTTCATTTGGCTCCAAAAAAGCCCCCGTCAATACTGCCTCTGGCAAGACTCACAGCCAACCCCCAGTGGACAGTGTCCAAGGAGGCTCCGCCTTCCTGTTTCAGGGAAGACCTTGGTGGCCAAGGGGTCTCTCTATGTCTGTGCCAGGGTGCTGCCGACAAAGCCAAACTTAATTATCACAACAACAACAAAACACTCTCTCTCAGCCTCTCTATCTCCAAAGAGCATGAGGGCAAGCCTTTCCATTTCATTTCATTTATTTATTTTTGGCGCTGGGGATTGAACCAAGGGCCTTGTGCATGCTAAGCGTTCTACCACTGAGCTACACCCCCAGCCCCAAATCTTTTTAGACGAAACCTGCTCTTAAAATAATAAAATGGCATGTGCCGGCTACATGCTGAAATCCACCTGAGGCTTTACAGGCATACCCAAAGCATGAGCACAAACACACGATATCCTAGGTCATAAAAGACAAGATTACTAGTACTTAGAAATAAGTACTGTTTTGTTTGTTTTTGGTTTTGGTACCAGGGATTGAACCCAGGGCACTTAACCACTGAGCCCCATCCCCAGCCTGTTCTATATTTTATTTAGACGCAGGATCTTGCTGAGTTGCTTAGGACCTCACTAAGTTGCTGAGGCTGGCTTTGAACTCATGATCCTCCTGCCTCAGCCTCCTGAGCTGCTGGGATTACAGGTGTATGCCACCGCACCTGGTAGCACTGTCGCACTCAGTATAGACCATAAATTATAACAAGAGTCAGCAAACTTTTGTTATAAAGGGACAGAGAGTAAATGTTTGAGGCTTTGTGGGTCACATGGTCTCCTTTGCAACTTAAGTCGCCATTATACATAAAAGCAGCCATAGATAGTATATAAAGGAATGAGTGTGACTGTGTTCCAATAAAACTTTACTTATAAAAATAAGGGGCAGGCTGGATTTAGCCAGTAGGCTACAGTTTGCCCACGATATTTTTTCATTCTGTTTGTATGGAGTGAAAAAAGAGAAGTGGTTAACAGGAGTGGGGATGTCTGGAGGGATTTACAGGAGGAAGAGAGGAGTACCAGTTGAGGGCGAGGGGATATGAGTGAAAAAATAAGAGAAGGCTTCCTGGAGGAGGTGGCATATGAGCTGAGTGAGCCTTGTAAGGAAAGATTTATAGGTACAAATGTGGAGGGGGAAGAAGGCAAGCTCTGTTCCTTCTCTGGGGAATTTGCCTATGTTCTTCTCAGAAACAGGATCTAAGACACCAGAAGAAGCAGTAACAAGGACAGGGAATGCTCAGTCCTGAGCCAAGACACCTGCAGAAATATCATCTGCCTTACATTTTCCTGGGGTCCCCTGCTCTGGGTCGCATCCCTACTGGTCATATTTCAAACTTCACGTCAAGCCTTTGGAGTTGGAAGTCTTGCACTTTCCACATCAAAAGCATTCATATTTTCACTACGCAACACCTCACACAGCCAGCCTACTCAGTAGCACTTGTGTCACTGAAGTGAAACCAAAGGCGACTGGACTAGCTGATGGCCGGGCTCCTGTTCAAGTCTGCAGGTGTTTGAACCTCTTTTTTTTTTTTTCATACCAGAGATTAAACCCAAGGGTACTTGACCACTGAGTCCCATCCCCATCCCTATTTTTTTTTTAATAGAGAGAGAGAGAGAGGGAGAGGGAGAGAGAGAGAGAGAGAGAGAGAATTTTTAAATATTTATTTATTTTTTGGTTTTCGGCGGACACAACATCTTTGTATGTGGTGCTGAGGATCGAACCCGGGCCGCACGCATGGCAGGCGAGCGGGCTACCAATTGAGCCACATCCCCAGCCCCCCAGCCCTCTTTTATATTTTATTTAAAGACAGAGTCTCACTGAGTTGCTTAGGGCCTCGCTAAGTTGGTGAGGCTGGCTTTGAACTCACGATCCTCCTGCCTCAGCCTCCCAAGTTGCTGGGATTACAGGCCTGGGTCACCGCGCCTGGCTGAACCTCTAGTTTGAACCTAATGACTCAAGCTCATGGGTGTCTCTTTCTGTCTCCCTCTCCTCCCCTCCTCTCTACTATGGCTGCTTTTTTTTTTTTTTTTTTGCTAACTCTTGTTCTCTGTGTCCTCTGTCTTCCCAGCACTAACAGTTGAATTTCCTTAGATCAAATGCCTGTGTGTATACTAGACCTTTCAGCTGCCTCTCAACCTAGGAGTCAGGAACCCTGTTCTCCAGCCCTGGCAGTAACTTGCATCCCTTTTGGGGCCTCAAATTTTCCAGATGTCAACGGGGAGCAATGTGCACCACATGAGCTCTGTGCCCTTTCCAGCTTTGCTGCCATTCCTGACACATAATGGCCCTGCCAAAGGGTCCTCGATGCAATGGAGGATCTCTCCTCTTCGCCCTGCTGAGCAATCTTTGGCCTCCAGTTCCCTCAGGTGCCTTGGCCCAGGCACCAGCTTGCCACGGCAGAGCTGCCTGCAAAATCTAATTCATATAAAAGTTTCTGGGCCTTCCTGCAGCTGTCAGCAGGTGTCATATTCACAGTATTTTGTCTTAATTGCAGGTCTGGGATTTATCAACCAGGCCAGAATACCACTTCTGGAATACTGCCTCCCTGGGCACTGCTCCAGAAACTTTGCCCCTGCTGCTGCCACTCTCCCTTCCCGGGCCAGCAGCTACCTCCACTCCAGTTGGCTGCAGATTGGGGCCAATGTGGATTCTGCTCTGCATCTTCCTCCTCCGGGCATCCCATCACTACCCCTCAGAGAGATTTTGGGGGGCCTAGATAACACAGGCACCCTTCCCAGGGGTCCAGAGGCAAAGATGTCTGCCTATTTGAGGGCAGAGCCTGGGGTCTCAAATCTGTTGTCCCATCCCGAAACTTTGGTAGTCCCAGGAGTAGGTTTGAGGACCCGACTTCTCCCTGACAGCTATGAAAGACTCCCCTTGGCCAGACTTTAGCTGGGCTCCTCTACCCTCTGCTCGACTAGACCTTGAACTTGGACTTCTGTGTCCTCCCTGGCAGCATCCAATTATAGCAAGAATCCCGAAAAGTCAGCTTAGGGAGAATCCCCCATCCTTGACATCTAATCAAATTCTGAACCCAGGGGTGCTTAACCACTGATCCATATCCTCAGCCATCTTTTGTATTTTTATTTAGAGACAGGGTCTCCCTGAGTTGCTTAAGGCCTCACTAAGTTTCTGAGGCTGACTTTGAACTCATGATCCTTCCGCCTCAGCCTCCTGAGTTGCTGAGATTACAGGCATGTGCCCTTGCACCCGGCTCCTTCCTCACCCTTGATATCTTACCACCTTGTTCTGACTTCGATAAGAATCCAATTAAGTTGGTTTAGACAGAATCCCCCTATACTTGATGTCTACTGTTGGTAATTTTCCACCCGTTCACCTAACCTGTTCCTTAGCTATAAATCTTTACTTGTCCTTGTACCAGGAGCTGACTTGTCCTAGTCTTTGAACCTGTGGCAGACACCTTGAATTTTTTCCTTACCATTTTAACAAGTGCCAGAATAATCTTCAACATTACCTCCACATTCAATGCTTTTGTTCCTTGGGAGGAACCCATAGCAGGTTCTACTTAAGCACACAAACATTTATTGAAGGCTTACTGTGTGCCAAGCCTTCCATATGCCACCAGAATATAGAGATGAAGAAGCTCATGGCCTGACCCTTGGAACAAGGAAAAGAGTTTTCATCTCATCTGCTCACTTGTGCTGATTGGTCTGAGTTTCCTGGAATGGTGCCTCATGAAGGATTCTGAGAAGAGGGCCATGATATATTGCCCTTCCTGTAACTCCTGCACTGCATGCTCCTTATCATGAAACAACAGTGACACTGGGCTTAGCATTTTCCATACATTATTGCTTTTTGTTCTCAGGACCAATTTATCTCTATTTTATGGAGAAGAAAATGACTCTCAAAGAAATCAAGTCCCTTGTCTGAACCACACAGCTAGTGCAGACATGGGGGCAGAGTTCAGAATGAGCCTTGTACACAGACCAGTGAGGAGGTGCCCCCTCCTGGAGCCAGCTTACCCAGCTCCTGGGGCAGCTCACTGGTCCCTGGCTAATAGCACTCTTCCCACTATTCTCATGCCACCTGGAGTCAGTTTCCCTCTGGTCCAGCCCTTCCCTGGCCAGCAGCTACCTCCACTCCTAACTCCCAGCTACTGACTTAACATCCCAAGACATCCTGAGTGTTGAGAATGTGCAAAGATGACTGACAGTTCCCCAAAAGGTGTGCACCGCCTTCCACAGGCTGGAGGAATCCCTGAGAAGTGGCTGTTTTTCGGTCCCCTGTGGGGGGATGATACAGAGGCATGTGATTATTCTTGCCAACAGTTCTGCCTGAGTGCAGGGGACTCAATCCTTCAGGGATGGTGGAGCCATGAGAGGGAAAGACCCTGAGTTCCCCAATGCCCCTGGACTGGTATGTGAGCATAAATGTTTTGATTAGATTAAGTCATTAAAATCCTTATTTCCTGCAATAGGTGATATTGCCCCAACCCACCCTTGAGGCACCAGTAATGGAGAACATTCTATGATGCTTCCTAGCCAATCCTTCTTTGTTCCCCACACAACCTCATAAGGCTTATCATCATCATCATCATCATCATCATTATCATCCTCATTTTCAGATAAGGCCATGGGCGATCATGGGATGCAGCTATGATCAAACCCACCCAATATGTATGACCTAGTAGGTAGTAGGTCAGGGTTCAATCCAGATTGAATGCAGTTAACAGCACAAAGTAATAACTCCTTCTATCTACCACCCCCTAGAAAGAATGAGCAGGAAACATCAGGAAAATGGCATCTAGAAGAACCAGAGTCATTGCCTCACCCAGCTGGGGTGGAGCCTTTACCAAGACCCACAATCATGTTTTTCTAATCAAACTTTATGATTATTCATCTAT